GTGTGTGTGTGTGGTGTGTGTGGTGTGTGTGTGTGTGTGTGTGGTGTGTGTGGTGTGTGTGGTGTGTGTGGTGTGTGTGGTGTGTGTGGTGCGTGTACGGTGTGGTGTGTGTGTGTGCACACGCACAGTTAATGCACCTGCTATACCTGCGTCACAAAAAAAGAGACGACATGCTTTCCAGATCAAATTAATAATTCTGTCTGTTAATCTCAAAAAAATTTCTTAAACTGTTTTTCAAACCATTTGGGCAATAATTACATGTAAGCTATCCATATTATGAGATTTTTTTCAACAATTATAAGAAAAAAATCAGCTTTTAAAGCTCCACTCCACATCAAGGAATAATTTTTTAATCTAGAATTAACACAAAATTCAATCAACCCGACCATAATAATACATCCTGGCTGATCCTGAAATAAGGTTGCTGAGGGCTGCTTCGTGTGACCTGTGCTCAGTCATCAAAGGGACACAGCACTAAGAAAAATACCAATTAAGAATAAATTCTAGAGTAAGTGCAATTTATAAAGACCATCTATACAGAGCAATAGAACATATATAAATAAAACGAATTTTTTTCTGCCAACCTAAATATCATCAGGTTCACAAATGAGAGAAACAAAATAATTTTTAGAGTTCTTGTAAAAACTAGGCTTCCTTCCAAATGAAAAACAATCCAGCATATCAGGAAATAATTCAGTAGTTTTCTGATTGTCAGAATCACCTGTAAATAGCTCGTAACGTACATTGTCAGTAAAGATACAACACTCTGCAGACTGAACCCTTCGGGAGACTAAGGGGCCGTCACAGGCATTTATGAACCGCCTCACCTGCCTTCCAGGTGTTGATGGTGAGGGTGAACATCTAAAGGCACTGCTGTACACGTGGGCCTCCTGATTCGTGCCATGGACACTTGGTGGGTACTAAATGTGGTCGATTCTTACCCTGTTTTGAGTCTGGGGTGTGATGAGCTAGAAGGTGGAGCCCTTCTTTGGGGGACCGCCAGGGCTAGCAGCTAACCCACGCGCAGCCCACACAATATTGCCCGCCATCAGGTGTGGTCAACTCTGAACCTCAAGGCCGCGCTGGTCTTTGGAAGGCACTTCGATTTCGGCCAGTGGCTATCCTTAAGAACGGACCCCCAACGGTTCACATCTGTCTTTCCTTCCTGGAGTCATTGCTCTGTGCATCTCTCAGTGGAGACCTCAATATTGCCTTTGGAACTCGATAAGGATGAGCTGCAGCATCCATGGGCACTCGGGGTCCAGGCCAGCTCAGACTTCTGGGCAATAGAACTTGAAGGGGGGCAGCTGCGGAGTCCTACTTGTCTGCGTTTCTATTGGCCTCTCGGGTCCAAATTTAAGATAGTTTTAAAATTGAATTGCAATGAAAATATTCATTGTTCTTTGCTGTTGGATTTTTCTTTCTATCAAGGGCATATTTCCTTGTTCTTTCCCTTTTGTGTCATCAAAAGAAAAAACCAGGTGTCAGGCATATTTGGAGGGTACAAAGGTGATGCCAGTGAGGCCGCCTGACAGAAATACTAACCTGGGGCTGCGTGCCCCAGAGCCCTCTCCCCTGCATGACCCCACGCTGTTACTAGCAGCAGACCAAGTGGAGCGCTAATTAAACATGCCCCGAGCTTTGAGCCCTAGTGTTGCTCAGGAACTCTTCCACTGTCAAATTTTACTTCCTTCATTAATTAATCTTACAACCTGCTGTTCAAATACTGTGATGCTTCCTAGATGATCAAAACGTACCAGACTTCTATCTTTTAGTTTCTACTTTCATGTAAGCAGATTAAGTTGAAATAGTTGAGAATAATAAATCTTGTGTGCGATATCCTAACAGTGTCTGGAAGTAGGTATTTCTATGAGGGGACATCTATAATTATACAGCATAGGAGTTTTCCAGGAAACTGGAAAACATTTGGGGATTTTCCTTAATTTAGAAATAAATTTAAATCAAAGGGGATAATAAGTTCTTTCCCACACCTAAACCATTAGATTTTATAATTAACATACAGAGAGACTATAAAATTGCCCCTTTATGTCTACCAGACATCTTTTAAAGCAAAGATTCCAATAACACTATTTGTAAATCAGCACATAATACCAAAGTAAGATTTTTTTTCAGTTTTGCAATTTTTCAAGAAAAGAAGTTCATGGTTTTAAACTCAACATGGGCCATGCGGAAACGCAGACCAAGAGAGGGCCGCACAATAATGTGAATGGAATGTGCACAGGAGAAAATGCCCTGCAGTGTCTGGTCTCCTTTGCCGTGTGAGGTCAAACTTCTCCAGGGAAGCCTGAGCTCATGTTCACACGACTGCACTGTCCACAGGGGAGGATGGACCAGGCAATGGCCCCCAGCACTAACTAGCCACACTATGTGCCCCAGGTCACTGCCACCCTTTAGTTGAGGCTAGACAAACTGACCCTACAATCCAGAAGGCTCTGGGCAGACCCAGCCCTCTGCCTACTTGAGAACTGCTGCTGGACTGTTACCCCTGACTCAACAGTGGCCCAGCAGAGCAGACTGGTCCCAGTCACCCACCATGATTCAGCCACGAGTCACAGTCCGCACGGATGTCTGCCTTCATTCTTCAAAAAGCGAGAGCAAAGCCCTAAGCAAAGTGAATGATTTTTTTTAAGGAAAACTTTAGAGGCATAAATTTGAGAATTCTTCCTCCATTTGAAAACTACCCTTTATGTTCAACATGACAGGTGTAAAAACTGTGTCAAGGTCTATTCATCTATTTTAAACATAGGCTTTTTTTTTTGGAGATAGCAATTATACTAACACACTAGAAGTAACAAACTCTGGTGTCACTTCTTCACCTCAAAGTTGTAGTGGTTTTTGTTTTTTGTTTTTCTTTTTGGCTCATGGTTATATAATTTAAAGAAGGAACACAAGAAGAATATTCATTTTCTCTTATGATAAACTCAATCAGATGTGCATATTTTATGTTGATCTACATCCCCTTTGTAAAACATATTAATGAGTTTTCAGAAGCTAAAATGAAGATTAAATTAACAAGCAGCCTCAGAAGGAAGAGGCCCATTTTTAACACTGATGATCACATTCCTTTGTCAGGACTTTTTAGACAGTTAAAAATAATCCACAAAGTTAACTGTTTCCTTTAATATTTTGTTTCCAAGATTAGCAAGATACAACATTTGGTTTGAGGATGTGGCCTGGTGAATTTTTAAACTGGATCTGTAGCCAATATATACAGACCGGGCATCCTGCAGGCTTGTCAATGTTATTGGCAACACCATGGGGATGGAGTTTGTGTCTCATTTCCTTTAAATAAAAAGCCAAGCCTTGGAGTGACCGATTGAAATAATGCACCTCTGAGCCTCCTCCCTGGCCTGGTGGCTGTCTGCACAGCTGAGCACTGTGGTGGGGCTGCTGCCTGACAGGCAGGAGGGCATAATCAGGTGCAGGCCGAATGGACGCTGCTGAGTATTTGTTCTTTAAATATCATAAAATAGTTGCATGAGGGAGGAATTTTGTGGATCACATCGAGCATGATCTTATAAGTCTTTGTGTTGGAGGAAAACTCTCCTTTCCAGCAAGCAGCTCCAGACCACGCACCTCAGCCCCCTTAGGCCTATTTAAATGGCAGACTACATTCCCCGGGGAAAACGGTCCCGAATTCTCTCTCTGCTGCTATAAACCAAAACTGGTAGGTATGGAACGAAAGGCAGACCCCAAAGACAGCCTTGCTGGGTAACAAAGTGCAGCTTGTCTTATATAAAGCAGGCCGCGTTTGCCCTGCTCTGCAGGGAGCTGGACATGCTTGCTGTGGGGGAAGGAAACCGCCCACCTGCCGCCGGGGCCAACCGAGCAGAGGTGGTGATCCACCGGCATTTCTCATGGCAGGGGCTGCGCAGGTCTCCCCTAGTGCCTACCCAGGGGTAGGCCTGATGCACAGTCCCCGGGGAGAAGGGCCCACGCCGGGAGGGGCACTGGCCGGACACATGGCAAAACGAGGTGGCAAAGGCATGCCAAAGGAGTGCAGCCAAGGGAAACCAGGACAGAGTGAGGTCACCGATTTCAAACCGTCTCCCAACGGATGCGCAACGGGCGCATCGGCGGTGCCCTGTTCCCGCGGCCAGACAAGCTGGCTGGGAAGGAGTGCGCACCTCCTGGCCTCCCAGGCGACCCACCGTAGCGGACGCCCTGCACCCGGGTTCCCCCCCGGCTGCCGGCGCCCGCACCCACCTTGACGACGTAGGTGACTCCGGCTCCCAGCACCTGGTCGCTGGCGTGCGGGGCACGGGGCGGCGGCTCGTCGCCAGGCCGGCCCTTCCTGGCGGCGCGCATGGCCGGGGCGCGGGGCCCGGGGGGCGCGCTGCCGTCCGGGGCGGCCAGGCTGGGCGCGCTGCAGCTGCCCGAAAGCCGCGCGCCTGCCCGCTCCCTGGCCGCCGAAAGGCCGCGGAGGCCCGAGCTGGAGAGTTTCAGGTGGGACACCTTGTGGAGCAGGTGGCCCAGGCTGCCTGGGCCATCGTCGGGCGCCCTGCGCAGCGCGTCTCCGGACACCAGGTACGGGGCCGCCGCCGGGGCCGCGCGCGCCGCCGAGACCTTGCCGCCGCCGCTCACCGACAGGCTGTGCAGAAGGTCATCGACCGATGTCACCGAGTCATTCCTGAAGCGGTTGTACTTGGTGCGTGGAAGCATGCCCCTCCGTGGGCTCGCCGCATCCGCCCGGGCGCTGCAGGTGCCGGCCCCGACGCGGGCTGCCGCGCATAGCAGGAGCCGCGGTCCCGGGCGGGACTCGGCGCCGGGACAGCCGGCGGGTGGGGGGCAGCGGCGCCGGCCGCCCACCGCTAACAGCCTGCGCCGCCGCGGCCGCGCAGCCCCGGGCCCGGGCTCGGCTGCTGAGGGCGGCGCGTGAGCTTTGCAAAAGTCATAGCTTCCTCCGATGAGCGCCCAGCTGCTCGGGGCTGCTCACAGCAGAAGCATGACTCACGCCGAGAGGAGACCCTTCTCAACAAAGGCTCGGTGAGCACTGCAAATCACTTCCTGTAGCAAAAAAAAAAGAGGAAAAAAAACACATACACCCACTGACAGCACACAAGAGCCAATCAATTCTCAAATTTCCTTTTTCTACCTTCCCAGATATTTTCTTCCAACCTTTGGTTTCTCACCTCCCCATCTCCCCACCACCACCACCAAGGCAGCGTTTGTGCCAGAGGTAAATCCAATCCCTTCAGAGGAACAGGTGAACTTTCTGAAACCCATTATTCTAGCCTGGGGTTTTCTCTTCCCTGTGCAGCCCATCTGTAGGAGCCAAAAAGTGTCTGACCGTGATGCGTTAAAATGTGACGAAGGCTTTTTAAGAATAAGATCTTCAGCGGATCCTCATGAATTCTGATTTGGAAAGCAGCAGGAATTGTTAAATAGCAAAGAAAAAAGGGAATATTCACTCCCGGGTGAACATAAAATACCAATTTCCTGGATTTTTCTTTTTTCCTTTCACATCCACAGAGCAGCCATGACAAGTGTCTTTGTGGCAATGCAGTTGCTCCAAAAAAAAAAAAAACCTGCACATGAACTTCTGCACAGAGCTGGTTAGGCCCCCTCCCTGCTAGTTCACAGCAGCCTTTCTCAGTCAGGGTTGTCGAATGCCTACTTCCAGAATAGAAGAAGAGAGCTTCTGTGATTAATGGCACCAGGCTCCAGAAATCCATCCCAAAAAAGGAGCTGCCCTTGAAGCTTTCTTCCAACTGAATGTTCAAGCTCTGGAAAAAAGCCTAAGAAACACTCCCAATGCATTTCAGTGTCCCTTCAGTTGCTGCTTGCAACTCTGCAGTAAGGAAGAAGAAAATGCGACTGCTCTGGTTACACATCAAATACGCAGGAAAAATGCTTTCTTTTCAGGAGTCACACTCGGGCTGCAAGTGAAACACACAGGCCTCTTTCCTCTCAGTAGGAGAACAGGGCCCTGGAGGCCCCTAGAAGGTCTGCGAAGACTCAAACCCACCGATCCCTGTTGCTGTGGGCTCTGCTCATCTGCGTCACTCGTTGAGATAACCTGCCCAGCTGTGACATGCTCCCGTCCAGGTTCCCCGGCTGCTTCTGTGCAAGCAAATGCATTTACCTCTAGCACATTATCAGGCCGCCCTGAGTCTTCTCACACCCACGGCTAGACATGTGACACATGAGGTACCGAGCCTTGAAGAGCCTTATGGAGCAGGTGTAACGAGGGCCACTCATGGCAGCCGGGGAGGCCAGCCGCTGCGATGCAGGAGCAGAGGGGCAGCGGCTCCCCTCCCAGGGCCGCAGGCCTAGCAGAGCGGCCGCATGGCACTTGGTTTTTCCCTTCCCCTTGCTTGCATAGCAACAGCAAATGCACACCCCACAGATGGTTGTGACGGTTGTCAAGGCCCCCCCAAATCTAAAGCAAAAATGTCCTATCATTCCCAAACCGTGATCTTCATTAGAAGCAGACAAAAACAGCAAAATGTGAATGAAATGCTGTTTGTGTGAATGAAAGGGCTAGCGAGCGAGCCAGCGTTTCTGTGAATGAAGCGGGGCCTTGGGCCGCGCCAGGCAATCCCCTGGTTCCAGCGGCCCCAGCCAATGAGCAGCCGCCCCAATGACTCATTCAACAAAAGCTTGCTCAATAGTGGAAGATTCCATTTCAATCAAAGGCGGGATCTTTCATCCAACGGCAGTGTGGGAAAAAAAGGGAAAAAAGCCAGCCTGATCACAAAGATGCAGGAAGGAAGGGGACCGCTGATATGAGGAGAGGAAAAACTAATTTTCAAGGGAATTTAAGAACCATTGGTCAGGTCCGAGTGTGAACAGGATTGCCTCCTTGGAGGTGAGCTGTGCCCCCAGACTTTCATTCAGCCGTTCATTTACATCAAAGAGAAGCCATGAATGTGCCATTCGGTTCAGCATTTATTATGAATGTACAGCGAATGCACATTGAAAACCCAGGCACCTCGCCCTTGATTCTTTTTGTGAAAGGAACACAGAACACGCGGCACATTCTGCATCTCTAAGGAGAAAAAAAACCCACAGCTACACGGTTAACCCTTTAACCAACGGGAGACTTTTGTTTCCTATGAGGAGGTAGGTGGAGGAAGATTGGCCATTTCAAAATAAATAGCAATGTTAATTTACTACGTGTAAGAAGATATGTTATCAAAGCTAGTGATTAATATTCCAAGAACACAGTAAAACATCTCACGTATGGGGAAGATGGGATCAGCTTATTGGAACCTAGCAGAAAAGCAGAAAGAAACCCCCAAGTCTCCCAGCACCAGAACAGAAGCTGCAAACCCAGCCCAGCAGCCACGCCCCGCCCTCCCAGGACAGCCCCAAGGGCCCTCCCTGGGGGCTTTGCTCCTTACTTTAGACACTGTCCCGAAAGCCGGAGGATCTGGTGTATCAGCCTGCAACAACACAGAGGTGGATGGTAGATGAGATTTTCATAGTCTGGCAACACAGAAGAGAACAGACAAAAGGAAGCCGTTGTAATGGCAGCCCTGAGACTCAAGAAAGCCAGGCAGCCTCAGGTCGTTTACGGTAGCCTTTCCAGAATATTGCTGTTTTCCTTTTTAAATTTGTTAATTTAAGAGTGTATTGGTTTTCTATTGCTGTCTTAACCACAAAATCAGTGGTTTAAAAAGACACAAATTGATTATCTCCCAGCGTGTAGGTCACAGAGACGGGTGACATGTGGACAAAGTGAAGGTGTGTGCGGGGTGGCTCCTTCTGGAGTTTCTAGGGGAGACTCCTCTCCTGGCTGGGGAGGGTGGCTTTGCCCCCTAGAAGGCTTCATTCTAGCAAGAGAGGCAGGAAATCTAAAATTAATATTATAGCCTGTATGCTGTGCCGATTTTTGGATATGTGTGATACACACACTATGCAGAGGGGAGTATGCTGAGCTTGGCCTGAGGATGTCAGGGGTGACTTTGACGTCAGCTGGGAGACGACCCCCAGCAGAGTTGCGAGGGGTGGCTGGGGTCTTCCAGGTGGAGGAGGGGAAAAGACGCCTCAGGAGGAGACCATGTGAGGAGAGGCTCAGGGCCTGAGCCCCGGAGCATTTCCAGAATCCTGTGTAGATTGGCTGGGTTGGAAGCGAGTGTTGTGTCTGGAGGCTGAGGGGGGGGAGGGGAGAGGGGGGACTTGGGGGGTGCTGGCAGGGGCTGGAGAGGGGTGGGGCAGTCAGGTTCTCATTTTATGTGGACATAGGGCAGCTGTGGGGAGTTGAGAGGGTGGCAGGTAACAGTACAGGTGACCACTCTTGGGGTTTTGAAGGCAGGCAAGGGGGCGGGAGGGAAGGCAGGGTGGGTTCGAGCTGTGGTGAGGAGGTGAGCCCACTGGATGACAGATGGGTGGGGCAGGGCGGCAGGGGGCCTCGTCTGGAGGCAGAACTCAGGTGGAATTTGGGGAACAAGATGCTTGTTAGGGACCAGCCTCCGTGGAAAGCAGCAGGAGGCCTCAGGATGGGCAGAGGGGAGAAGTGGGGTGTGTGCCTAGCGGGGAGCCCCCCTCAGGGTCCCCCTTGTTCCCTCATCCCTCACTCCTCACTCACTCAGCTGCCCCAGGAGTATGGCCTCCAGCCACGCAGCCCCTGAAGCTGAGGCCTGAAGGAGTGGGCTGTGGAGCCAGCCTGCCCATCCACCCCGCAGCGGGGCAGGAGGCCTGCTATGGAGGAGCCTGGGCAAGGCCCTCTGCACCTCCCACAGAGAGAGTTGCTGAGCAAAGGCCTCTCTTCTGACTTGGACGGTGAGGCTGAGTGAGTCTCATCCACCAGGATGAAGATCTCAGATGGCCAGAGGGGAGGGGAGTGCGGGTTCTGAGCGCAATGAGTGCTGGCCCCTCCGTGGGGAGCTATCTGGTGCTGAAGGGCAGGCAGAGCTGGAGGTTGGAACCTGAAAGTCATTGGGTGCAGGTGACATTGAGCCATTCCATGGCTGGTGCAAACTTAGGAAGAGTGACAGGGAGGGATCCCTAGGAAACGCCAGACCTCCCAGGTGGGAGCTGAGAAAAAATGGTCAGGAGTTGGAGGGTACACACGGAAACCTGGGTTGATGGATGCCATGTGTCTCAGTCAGCTCGGCCTGCTATAACAAGATACCACAGACTGGGGGCTTTAACAACACACATTTATTTCTCGCAGTTCTGGAGGCTGGAAGTCCATGATCAAGGCTCCAGCAGATTTAGCGTCTGGTGAGAACGCACTTCCTGGTTCATGGATGGCCACCTTCTCCCTGTGTCCTCACGTGATGGAAGTGGCAGGGAGCTCTGTGGGGTCCCTTTTATAAGGTCACTAATCCCATTTATAAGGATGCTCCACCCTCATGACCCACTCACCTCCTAAAGGCCCCACCTCCAAATACCAACTCATTGGGAGTTGGGTCTCAATATAAGAATTTTGAGGGACACAAACATTTGTTTCAAGAGAAAATCAGTGGCATTTAACAAGGGCAGGGGTGGTAATCATAATACTTTCATCGACCGTCCCCACATGCCAAACAATGCACAGCCATCATCTCCTTCAGATCCCATGACCTGTGAGATAGAGTTTACATCCCGTTCTGCACAGAAAGAAACCAAGAATCAGAAGGGTTACAAACCGTGCCAGGGCCACACAGGGTTAGCAACTGGCCAGGCTGTCTGACTCCAAATCCACATTTATGGCCACAGCATCACCCGACTCAGAGAGCTTGAGTCAGGTACGTGTTGAGATCACCTTTGGAGGTGGTGATTACCCATTACGACACCTTAGCAGGGAGAATGGAGGGGTACCACTTACATCACAGGATGGTGCCAACTGAATGAGAGATGAGAAAATGGATGAAAAAAATCATACTTTCCAGAAGATGGAATGAAATGAAAGGGAAGGTAGAGGGCGATGGCTGGAAGTACCGCAGAGTACAGAGCGGGTGATGGAAGAGTGAGGGTGTGTCTAGGGTAAGGGAGCAGAACAGAATGGGAGAAATGCAGATCTGGGAAAGAGGGAGGGTCGAGTATGGGTGGAGCTATCGCCCTGGTGCAAGGTGAAGAGAGGGAGGAATTGGGAAGCAGATGATTTGGAGTTGAGTAGGAAACAGTTGGTTCCAAGGAAGAGACCTTAGTGAACAAACATGTTCAGAGTTGGGGTTAAGGAAGTCCAAGGGCTGGTGACACATGGGGATTCCTAAGAGCCAGAAGACATTCCCACTTTTAGGGCTGAAGGAACAGGAAGGCAATTGAATCTGGGGAGCCAGTGGAATTCCAGTTGAAATTTTGGAGGAAGGGCTGCCAGGAGGATCTGTAGTCTTGGAGGAATAAAGTCACTGACAGAGAAGTAGAACCAATGATGGAGAGGGAAAGTGAAGAAATACCCCAGCCTCTCTCTCCTCACTCTCTGATTTCCTGTTTGTGCCTCCCATGGGCCAAACCCACGGGA